CAGGCGACTGGCCCGAGGCGGGCCGCTGGCCTCTACCTGCGCGGCTCTGCGCGGGCTGACGCACATGGACACCGTCGTGCTCGCTGTCGAAACAGTTTTTACGTTGTCTTTGACTTAACGACTATAGTTAGATTACTATTTAAAGCACTCCCTCCCGTCCCTAGTAAAACCTATAGAAACATAAATCAAATGGGCTCTCTTTTCCTCTCTTCCAAGGAAGCACAGACTTCACTTTTTTTTTTTTCCTATGTATCAGTTTTTTCTTGGCAGTATCTGAAGCTCTGTTCGATGAAATGCTTAATTATCTTGTAAACACTGTACTCTAAGGTAGGGCCAACAGTTTGTATTATGCTTTCACATACTATGCACTACTTTTAACTTATAGCAAAAATGGGCTTGCTCTTTAACAATATTAAAATGGTAAGTGCTGTGTATTTGTGCTTTTATTTTTCTGAATACTTAGAAATTATTTTTTTGTTCTTCCATAGGGTTTTCCAAATAGAAAACCAGAAAAAATGATCGATATTAAGGCTTGGGCTGAATACATCGTGGAGTGGGCTGCAAAGGACCCATATGGCTTTCTTACTACAGTGATATTGGCCCTTACACCATTGTTTGTAATTAGTGCAGCGCTTTCATGGAAGCTTGCAAAAATGATTGAGGCCAGGGAGCGAGAGCAAAAGAAGAAACAGAAGCGCCAAGAGAATATTGCAAAAGCCAAACGAACAAAGAAGGACTAAATGGGCAAAAAAATGTTTTCCTTGTGCAACGAATCCTCTTTTTAAGTGAAACACTTGTATGTTTTGTCTTGTAACTGTCCTTTGATACTTGATCCTGTTATTTCTTGAAGTATTGAAATTTAATCCCTTCAATGTATTTTTTTTTCTGCTGAGATGATTTGTGTTAAAATTTGCCCAAGTAACACTTGTTACAGTCATTTAATCTACTACTTGTGTTCTAGTGCAGGGTGCTTTTCTAAATTTGCATGTTAAATTAAAAAATTAATCTGTTGGGTGGCTTTGGAAGTAGATTATTTTTTTTTGCTCAGCTGAGCTATGACTTAACAAGTGTCTTAAAATTGTTAAATTATGGGGAAAATGTGAACAGTAAACTGGATTACAGAAAGGCAAGTTTTGGTATACCTTCAGCAGACCTGTAGAGATAAGCTAGCTTCAGAGTTAGCAAGTATGCTACCTAACCTTCTGGCTACCTTTGATTTAGGGCCGTTCGAGTTTAGGTGGGATCTTTGTTCTTGTGGCCCTTGAAACTCTGCTGCCTTCCAGGTTTCAAAATGCTGGCATACTGGAAAAAGTCCAGGTGGGGTTTGTGTTGTAAATATGCCAAAATTATTTAACCTTAATTCCAAATCATGTTTTTCTAACAAGTGATTAATTTTTCAAAGCCTAATTTTTACTAATAGTCTAATTCTGAAGAGTTTGTGGCATACGTTTTTCGTTTTGTTTTTCGACTTGGTGTATTTCTAAACAGCAGCAGAGTTGTACCTTCCAGCAACTAGTCCTTCATTATGTTTAAAAATAAAACCTTAAAATAATACCATTGCTCAAATGAGGAGACCTATAGAGCTGGCTGACACCAAGGGGGATTAGAAGTGGGGAGTGTAACTGAAATGACTTAAAGTAAATGTGAAGTATTTCTCATCCCCTTTCAATTTTGTTGGTCAAAGCACGCATTATTAGAATATTACATTTTGGCATTTTACAAATACATGGGATTAAGTCTTCACGTTTTGTATCAAGTATTGTCAAATATGTACGCATTCCACCTTTGATACCTACATAGCTTAAAACACATGGAGGAGAATTGATGAAGGATGCACTGCATAAATGAATTTGATACTTTTTTCAAAAAAATTGCGTGGTCTTTATTTTGACTTGAAGTTCTCAAACATCTCTAAGCAAATAATCTGCACATTCTAAACTACAGCCAAGTATTATCTAACCATTTAGGCAAGTCCCTGCATACACCAGAAATAAAACCTAATTTTTAAAAAAAGTTAATATTTATTTAACCCTATGGTATTTTCCACCAGATTTACCAAGTGCTTCTAACCTGTATTATAGTAGTTATATGTAGTTTAACTCAGCGTGATTTTTATTCTGTGCTTACTACTGGCTGCAAATCAAACATTATTCAAATATGTTGATTGTTTTCTTAATTTTAAGTTACCAGAATGTCTCTAAGATTAATACAGTGCGTAGTCTGTTAATGAAACCAACTTTTCCATCCACTTGCTAGAGGAAAGCACACTGGCACTGCCAAGGGAATTAACAGGCATTCTGAAAAAGTGTCTTAAACTGATGCCTAGGTTTGCGAAAATTTAAGTATACTGATCAACTAAAATTTATTACATCAAAAGCAATTTTAAAAATAATGAATCTTCAAGGAAAAAAACGATTTAGAATTATTTAAGAAAATTAAGTTAGCTAGAAAACCTTCTACCTATGATTTCAAGAGTAACTGATGAACAGCAACTGTTGAAAGCAAACTTAGTAACACATCCTGTTTTTCACTAAAATCAAACATTTTGCAGTAGTTTGTAATGATTAAGCCTATTCGAACAGTTCTGCAAAAACAGATGAAACTGCTTTAGTATTACTTTATCGCACACTCACATATAACAGCTGCTTATGTTGACTGTTAAATATTTATCCATTAACAGTATCTGGACATGACAATTGTTTATTTATTAGGACTACTACCACTGCGCGGTGGCATCCAGGAGCCTGGCTGAAAGGTATTTGCAGTGCTCGTTGGATCTTGCGAAGGCTCTTCCTTTCCAAAGTAAGGGGCAGATGCATGACCTTTAACATGAGTACGAGCTGGCTTGGCAACAAGTCCCTCCTTGTATTCCTTGGCCTGCAGCAGCTTATCCTTTTCAGATACATCTTTGATTTTCTGTTTCATCTCTTCTCTATAATTTTCATTTTTAAGAATCTCCTAAGAACACAGCAGAAAGATAATTAGATAAATCAGAAGTAAATGCAATACACAATGTTGGAATAAACCATTTTGAACAGTCATTGTTTTCATTTTATAATCCAGATTTTCAGACATGTAGGTAAAATAAAATGTGGCAAAATTAATCGTTTTTCTAAAACTGCAATTTCAGCCCTAGTTTAGAATGTTCTTAATGTTTTGATCATGTTGTTGAAGCAAAACTGCATTTTGGTGTCCCAGTTTCACTGTTCTATTGGATCAAAAAGGAAAAGACATTAAATACAGTCATCAACAAATGTGAAAATGCATTAAAAGTAAGGCTACCTTTCACATTGTTTTCTATGTAGGACTTGCTACTATATAGCTATTTATCACTTGCATCTCTTCCTGTAACTCACTACGCCTATGACTTCAGGTATCTATGCCCCAGGGTGCAGTTTTGGGAGAAACAGCTGCGCAACCTTGACTCTGCTAGTACATAAGCCGAAGCCATGCACGATTAACAAATAGATAAAATAATAAAATTACAACTAAAGAAAAGCTAGGACAGAGCTGAAACTACTCAGATGGTACTAGCAACTCAGGAGAAAAAACACTGGGCAGGGGGGGCATAAAAATCCCTGAGGGAAAGCCTGCCCCAGAGACTTGGAAGACAGCTCAGTAAGGCCAAGGACCAGCATGGTCCAAGAAGCAAGGGAGGCCAACACATCCTCAGCCGATGACTGCCTGGCCAGCAAAGGTCAACTGGTATTGTGACAAGGACACTAAGCACATCACTGCTTTGGTGAGCTGTATGTTCACTCTAGGCATTTACCAGGTGTATTAGCTAAAATAAATGTACTGCATTCATAACAGGTGTAAAGTCTTGCCTACTGCCTCTGCACAGGTAAAAAATGCAAATAAAAGTGATCTTATTTTAGAGGTTTACCTCCACCTCTGATAAACTGAAGCAATTATATGACACATGATCCTATTGCAAGGCCAAAAAACCCACCCAGGACGTGTATTCAGAGAAGGCTCGTACAGCTTGCTGTTTCAACTTCATGAAGCTCTGTACTGAAACATGGTTGGTACAGGCTAAAGCTGGAAATTCACTAATGAAGATGACCTGAACCGGGATTTGGCTGCTTCTGCTGAGAAATGCTGACGCTATTAGTTGAAGCAGGTGCAACTACTGGCTTGTCCACAGGTATAATAGAAAACCAGCTGTTAGTAGACCTTGTCATCTTGTTCAGAGGAAAACACAAAGAACTCCCAGAGTAAACACAGAAAACCCTGAAAAATACTGAAGTTTGTTTTTTATCTGTTAGCATACGTTTCCTATTAGAAGGATGATTTGCAACTTCTGCTCAAGAGACTCCTCTGTGCTTTTTTTAAGGCAGAGAGTGAAGAGTATCAGAAACAAAAGCAGAAAGGTGATATGAATATTTGTAACACTTTGAACCCAAATACAACTTAACTGTAACCAACATCATGTAATGAGGAAGCTGCTAACATCCACATTTAGCCTGGGATACAGGAGGAAAAAGGCTGAACACTTTAGACAGATTACAAGTATATGGAAGAGCAAAGGAGAAACTACACCAGTACACTTCTCCCTGAGCAGAAGACCATGACATTATTTTAGGAATGACATTAAAATACATGTGGTATTGCCAAGAGTTGACATAGCAAGTATGTGAACATCTACGAACATTTAAAAAGGCAGCATTTAAAGAAAACCTTATCTTAGAGATATCATGAAAACTAACTATGTCTTAGTCCTTAATTGATTCTACACTTAAATTCACAGATGAAAGGAGGTTGTAGTGAGGTGGGGGTTGGTCTCTTCTCCCCAGTAACTAGCGATAGGACAAGAGGAAACGGTCTCAAGTTGCGCCAGGGGAGGTTCAGCCTATACATTAGAAAGAACTTCTTCACTGTTAGAGTTGTTAGGCATTGGAATGGGCTCCCCAGGGAGGTGGTGGACTCATCATCCCTGGAGGTGTTCAAAAAAACGTTTAGATGTGGCTCTTCAAGACATGGTTTAGTGGGTTTAGCCGGCATGGTGGCATTGGGTAGCTGGTTGGACTTGATGATCTTTGAGGTCTCTTCCAACCATAATGATTCTATGATTCTATGCACAGAGCACAGGCAAAACACTCCATATACATATCTATATAGCATGAAAATACACAAGCAGCACACAAACGACTTCGCAAACTGAAGGAGGGGAGGGAGAAAATTCTCCCGTACTCAAAAATATTGTCAAGCATAACAAGGTCAAATTTTGAACAGTCAGTATATCAAAACCTATTAATAACATCTCTCAATTCCGTCCTTGTTTACCCCATGCCTGTATAAATCTACCATGACCTCACTGATTTCAAGGGGATTACTCCTATGGTGCCTGTATTACCCCACTGTTAAGAAACAAGGTCATATACCTTCGTGCTATCCGAAAACTGTGTCACAGTCTCTGCTAAACCGGTATGAAATGATTCCTTAAAATATGAATGTTATTCAGTAACTGTGAATAGCTACTTACTAACTTCAAATCTTTTCCAGTGATTACTTCAACAACGTTATCTTAGTTGGGTAATAGCAGCTGTAACTAAGTTTCAAATGCTCCAAGTCCATTTTAAACGTTGATGTGTAATTGTCATCTGGTTTTCAGACTCAAGTAAGACTCTTTTAATCAGCGTTCACTGGCCAAAGTATAGTTGTGATCTAGTAAAATAACTATGTTGATCTTGAAAAAAGCATGAGGAATGATCCTTATCAGCAAACACAGAAAAAAATGCTGAAGTGACTTGTTCAGAATCTTCTACACAGACCACACCAGGACAAAAATTTTTCAAGTTCAAAGTATCTGCATGCATCCATTTAATGTATTAAATTCATGCCACTAACATGTACACTGAAATCAGGGTTCCTGTGCTCAGATTAAAGAAAATGTGACTCAGGAATGTTGTGTCAATTGGCATGTTAGAAAAATGGGGTCAAATAGATGAGTTTTCTTAGCATAAACACCTTGTCCTTTGACACTGGCAAGTTTGTTCTGTGGAATTCTCCGACAAGCACTGAGTCCTTCCTGTTCTCACTGGAACATACACATTTATTTTTTAAAAAACATTGTGATTGTATTTCTGCATACGATTGGTTCAACTACCATAGCCACTGCAGTTTGAAGCAGTTCCGAGACTGAAGTTTCCTTGCCATTACAGGCATTTAAATCAAAGATCCAAGTAGTTCCAAATTTGAATAGGATAATCAGCTTAGTTCAAAATGCACATTTTAATAAAATTATTGCATGCATATTTATAGAAGGAAAAAACACACTAGAAATGTGCAAGATCTTTATAACTAATCTTCAAAAATTGACTTCAGTTTATCTGCATGGCTTACTTCAATTAAATACAGTGAGTCTTAGAAAGGTTCCTCCTCAGACACCTTCCTGGTTCTACACGGCTTCCTATCACCT